GAATTAAATGCCTGTATTAGAAAAGAAGAACAATCTCAAATTAAGATTTCAGCTTCCACTATAAGATACAAGACAATGAAGAGAAGGGCATATGACTCAAGCCAGCCTAATCAAACTTATTTCCTAGTTTCTAATTTGAACTCATGGGGAAGGCAGTTCTTTCCTCTGGTATGAAGGGATGAGGGTGATAAAGATCCTTCCTTCCTGGCATGAAAATTACGTTTCACATCAAACTAAAACTTTGATTCAGGAATGACCAAAACTGTGTTTAACCCAAAGAGCAGGAGCATTAACATGGCTAGAAGTGTGAATATATATGTGGTTGTTATCAAAGACAGCAATTGTACCCAATTAATCAATTTTCCCTTCTACATCAGTAATGGAAACCTCAGTATTGCTTGGCTAGATAATTGTAGAAAATAAACTATATTGCTCAGCCTCTCTGGCAGCTAGGTATAAATACATGATTTCAATTCTGGCCAATAAAATTATATCTGTTAACTCTTACAGCTTAAATTAGTTGCTTAAAACAATAAAACCCATTTATTTAGTTTAGTGTTCTGTGATTTGGTTTAGCACTGGTCTGGGCTAGCTTGGCTGATGTTTTCAAGGCCCTCTCCTTTGTCTACTGTTAGCTAGCTGGTCAGCTGGCAGGTAGATGATCTAGGAAGTCCTCACTTACATATTGGGTGGATGTAGGCTTTTTGCTGGAGCACCACCAATCTCTTCCACATGTTCGAATCTTCCAACAGGATAGCTTCAACTTCTTCACATGTTGGTTTTAGAATTTGAAGCCCAGCCAGAGACAATGAACTCCAAATGTGCAAGAATTTTCAAGTCTTTACTTTTCTTATATTTACTAATATCCTATTGGGTAAAGAAAATCAATAGGTCAATTTAGAGTTAATATGGAAGGATTCTCCAAAGATCATGGAGCCAAAGAAGTGTTGTGTCTGACTTCTGGAAGTGTCTTTTTAAAGGGAGGTGGCCATGTCTCTTTCTATTTCTTGGTAAACAGGCATTGGTTCTAGAGTCTGACTTATATTTTCTCACATTAAAAAAAGAGAAAGCAATAGCTAAGTGCACAGAAGTAAACTTAGTATTTCCAGGCAAATTTCGAAAAACTGAGTAATATAAAAGCTCTATTAAATTAAAAGACCTCATAACAATTATTTTGAAATCATATTTAAGATATAGGTAATATAGAGAAATCATAATCTATATAAACTAAGTACCAACTTAAGTTTAATGAAATTAAAGAAATATTAATATCTTACTAATTTCCAGTAGATTTTCTCATATGGAGAAATTTATTTTTCTTGAAAAAAATACTTTGATAAAACAAGTGTTGGCTGGATATCATGGACATTTTCAAGATGTTCTGTGTCAGAAAGTGGTTGGAAGTCAGGCTCAGTAGGAGAAGTATACATGCATTAAAACCCGTTGTTGTTGTTGAGTCAGTTCTGACTTAGGGTGACCCCACGTTTGTCACATAGAATTGTACTCCCTAGACAGCCAGTTCTTTTTTTTTTTGAGTGCCCCAGGGAGAAATTGGATGTCCAGCTTTCTCCATTTAGCAGACAAGGATGTTAACCTTTTGTACTACAGGTTCAAAAGACATTCATTAAGGTTGAGTAAGGAGGAGGGAGAAAGAAGTCTTAGCAATGTGGGGAATTTGAGTGCAGAAGCCTATGAGAACCTCTAGTTGTAGGGACACTAAAGAGGTATTGTTGTTGTTGTTGTTATGTGCTGTTGAGTCAAACCTGACTCATAGCGACCCCTCCTTGGGTTTCCGAGGCAGTATCACTACGGAAGTAGGATTGCCCAACCTTCCTAGGGGTTGCAAAATAAAGCTCTCACCTTCTTTCACCTGAAATCTTTAGTAAATTTTGATGAATACATTAAGAAAATAAAAAGAAAGAAAGAAAGAAAAGGAAAATAACAAGCATCCCTATTCTTGAAATTGAGGTGTTGGTCAAGTTTCACCTCTGGGGTGATGCACGGCAGTACTGTCAGATTGCAAAAAGATTCCGAAATGGAAAAAACAGAAATTTAGGGTCAATATGACTATAGGGTATCAATACACATAGCATTCTTATAAACTTAAAGAGTGCTTTTGTCCCTCAACAGGAGTGGGATTAAGGTTTACAGGCAGTCTTATCTAGATGTCTCTAAGAGACAAAGAGCCTTTTTTTTTTTTTTTAATTGAAGCATTATATTTAAATAAGAATATGGTGAACTATATGAAAGATAAAGTTTTGACACAGAATAAACTTTATTTATCTTTACCATTTCCCCTCTTTCTTGCTTTTGCTCTTTGAATAAATACACTTTATATGTGAGGTTAGTCTGTGACAGGAATATAATATATGTCAAATCTCTGAAGGTGCTTGACATCTGTTTGGAGAACAAGGCTACTATAAGTGAACCAAAAGCCAAAAAACAAGTTACTAAATTATCTAGGGATGGATTTGAAATGCGTGAATATATAATCACAGAGCTATTGGATTTCCAGGGCTCCATGTAATACATACTCACCCTCATACCATTTTTTTTTTTTTAAGCCAAATCAAATCTTGATTTTGAACAATGATCTAGTTTAAATGGGTCCAGGTGAGAGTGGGGTGAGGCACAAGGCGGTAATTCACAGGCCTTTGCGGGTCTTTCTGGATCTATATGTAGCTTTGAAACTGAGATTCATTAGCATCGTCACTACATTTGGGGCATGTATAACCCTTTATTTTTTAGTCTTAGGCATTTCCATATCATTTGTTGTATTTAATCTTTAATGGTCCCAGCCAGTCTCTATTTCTCAGATGAAGAAAAATGGGGCAATGATAGGTTAAAAAATGGAGAGGTACACAGAAGGTACAGACAATAAAGGTAAATACTATTGCATACACAATACTGCATTATCAGTAATAGCAAACACTAATCTATGGGTGGATGCATAGGTGGACAGGCAAGAAGATCAGGTATGGGTAGGCGAATGGGAATATAACCACATCCATATATAGGTTAGGCAGACAATATTCCTACATGCATATTTGTATGTGCCATAAAAATGTTCATGTGAACAGGGGACAAAGTCAGGGTAACTTCTTGGCCATAGCTCCTTGAGGAAGTGAATCATTGGACCTGCAGGCTTAGGGCCATGGTTACAGGGGACGTCAAGCTCAATTGGAACATATATTATACAAAAACGTTGTTCTGAATCCTACTTTGGTGAGTAGCAACTGATGTCTTAAAAGCTTGCAAGTGGTCATCTAAGATGCAATTATCAGTCTGTCTTTTTCTGGAGCAAAGTAGAGTGAAGAAAATCAAAGACACATGAAAACAATTAGTCCAAAGGACTAATGGACCATGAGAACCTCAGACTATATGACCTTGAGACCAGAAGAATCAGATAGTGCTTGGCTACTACCACTCGGAAAGGGATCAACATTGGAGATCCTGGATAGAGTGGGAGAAAAATGTGGAACAACAACAACAAAAACAAACAAACAAAAAGACCCAAAACATAACAAAGACCGGCATTACTGGTTGGATAGAGACTGGCGAAACCCCTGACTATGGCCTGGAGTCACCCTTTGGGCCTGGGGTTGCATTCACTCCCATAGCTAACTCTCAGCCAAACAGTAGACAGGTCTATGAGCTGAACAGCTATCCCAGGGAGATACACTCCTTAGAACAGTCAACCATGGGAGATCAGAAGGGCAACATTTGCACGAGGAGAAAGGTAGGGAGGCAGGGATGTGTAGGCAGGAAGGGCACAGGGAAAGAGTGACCATAGGGAGAAAGAGTGGAAAGAGCTGTTACATTGTGGGAATTGTTATCAGTGTCACAAAACAAAGTGTATATGAATTGTTGAATATAAAACAATTTGTTTTATAGGATTTCATCCAAATGACAATAAAAGGAGTTTTTAAAGAATCTTTCTTTTAGAAGTCCTAACCCTTCTCTCTATCTTTGTAACTGAATCACAGCCTCATGTAACTCATGACAAAACACATAAGTTTTTGCACACATAGGTTACTTCCCAGTGGGACTATCCTGTCTCCACATAAGCTGAGTTCAGTTCCAAGGAAATCAGGGGGAGGAATGCCAGTTACTATGTAAGAGATTTGAGGTCTGTATCCACATGTCTTATTTTAAAACACCTGAGTTGTTATGATTTTTTTTTTCATATTTATTTCACGTTTTACAGGTATTTGTCCCTTCATGTAGAGTTATTATCTATACTTAATCAATCTAATATTATCTATGTTTATAATAGGTGAGTATTATATATTTTAGATTTGTGTTCTCAAAATAGCAGGTTGAAGAAGATTTCAGCTGTTATTTTTGACAATGCTTTAAAGTAAGTAAATTTATTTTTTGCATTTTATCATAATATAAATTACATCAGCTAAATATACTTTGTGTTTTAAATAATAACAGAAATGGTCTATAAATATGATTAAATATTTTTAAAAGAGGATGTTAAAAATGTTTAAGGGTCAGCATCAGTAGACATAAATAATACTATTCATAAAGAATTTGATTTTACACATTGGAAACATCTTGGCATTTTGATAGGAACATATGATTAGAGAAAGAGTTGTCCTTAATTTAAACACCTGACATGTTTAGAACAAGTTTGAATCAACAAGAGAGTAACTGAGAGAGGTGGAGTTGTACAGACTAAATTAACTGCTACCTCTTTGCTATTTTCAATTTCTCCATGACTATATTTTGATTTCTTTATGTGGTGCTTAATTCCACATTTCCCTTTTAGCTATATACAACTGACTTCCATGGGGTTTATTTTCATTCAGTTCTATGTATTCACCCTGCTTAAACCACATGTTTGGTGTCAGTAGGAAAAATACCTTATTACCTTCTTGTCTGTTTAACATTTAAAGTATCCTTTTTCCCTCCCTCTCTGTCTTGTACATAATGAGCAAATTATCTAAAAATAGATACGTTCATCATTCTACAAAATGTTGTATGTTCTCTAGATTGGAGGCCAGTGTAATTGTAAGAGACATGTGGCTGGCAGACAGTGCAATCAGTGCCAGGATGGATTCTACAATCTTCAAGAGTTGGATCCTGAGGGCTGCAGTCCCTGCAACTGTAATACCTCTGGGACAGTGGATGGAGATATTACCTGTCACCAAAATTCAGGCCAGTGCAAGTGCAAAGCAAATGTTATTGGTATGTGTATTGCAAAACTTTATAGTCACATCTCTATTACCATCAAGAATAAAACTCTCTGTTTGATTTCATAATATAAGAGTAAAGTAGATTTCCTTGCTCAAGGCTGCCTGGGGTGGAAAAAAAAAACAATTTGGATGAAATTAACTGCCTAAAAATGATTAAATTAATAATTCTATCAAACTACAGCTTGAAGCTGAGTTTAATCAACCCTTTAGAAGTTTCTTTATGCTGCAGATGCATTAGTTCACATGGCCCCATACTAATAAGTCATAGAAAAATATAATTTGCTTACTGCATAGATATTTCTTTTAGAAAATTAGCACTTTTTTCAAAATGTTTTACACTTAATGAGTTCTAAGCAAATCGTTTTCATGCTAGTTTTCTTAATAGACCAAAATAAATGGATTTTTAAAAAAATATTCTCTGCTACAGGGTCCTTTGTGATAAATCTTTCTATTTTTTTTTTTCTATTCTATTTCTTTGAACTGTTCCTATGAAATGCAAAATAAGTCCACATAATTCCACAGATCATGTATATTGCTAGGGTTAGTTATAAAGGGCCACATAATTTTAATTTTGTAATTCAGTGCCAAGCTGATTATAATAAACAGCTACCTTCGGTGTTATTTATCATTTTTTTATACAAGACGTGCTTTTTTGTTTGTTACTCCCACAGGTATTTTTCAGAAATTAGATTTGATTATAGCAATTTATTACATCCAACATTTTTGAGGAGAACCACAGCCACATAAGGACAAAATTTATCAAGTGCCCAAAATGCACTGTGTACATAATGCACTTCGAAATTTTGATGTATGAGAATATTATGAGAGGAAAGTTTCCTGATGAAGTGAGTCCTGTATTGTAACTGAACATGTCTTGGCTCACATAGGAAGTTTAAAAAGACCTTTACCTTTCTATTGTCATTCAGGACACCAAGTCATCCATGGTTTTTCTAACACTGACCTGAACTTGACAGTAATAAAAACATGCCTGGCAGTGATACATGTGTGTGCGCACGTACACACACACACTCCAAAAGCATAGATACAAATACACATGCACATGTACATATCATTTTGAATACCATTTTCTATCTCTGATATACTGTGAAGCTAATTCCTTACCTTTTGTATAAACATGTCGATGTGCATACATCTTTTTATGCAAGTCAGCTAATCAAGCCTTTCAGTTTAATTAAAAAGTAAAAAAAAATGGGTGCACTTAATGGTATTACACAAGGATTCTCTGGTTTGAAGAAAAATGACAGCAAAATCTATAATGTAATTTCCTCTTGTTCTTTTCAAGTACACAAGAACGAACTATTCAGAAAAAAGAATGCTAACTTATAAAGAGACGCACATATGTGTGTGTTATCTGTGATGCTGACTGAATTCTAAGGTCTTTGGATTCAATCTAAATGGCATCCTTTGTCTTTTAATGTTTGATATATTTTGAATTCAAGATGTGAGCACAAAACTTAATGACAATGAAACTGTTACTTTTGTACAGCAATGGGACCTGTCAGTTAGGTTTCAGAAGTTAAGGAAGTAAAAAATAAAAATTTACTATTTATTGGAATTTGTTATGACTTCCTTGTCATTTACCTATTTTTTTTTAATCTAGGTAATATCTGTGGGAAAATATAAATACATAAATACATATTACTTTGTATTTATGTATAAATAAATACATATTTATTTTGTGACAATTAAGTCACCATTTTTTTAAATTATTTCTAAGGTTATTTCTGCAAAAACAATATTTTTTAAACAAATGATATATGCTTCTTTTCCTAATGCAATTAGCAGGTAAACTTACTCAATTTTACATTCTTAATATGAGAAAAACAGAAAATACAAATGTACTGTATATGCTTCAGAAAGCAAACTGTTAGAGTTAACAAAACTGTTAAATCTTACTAATGATTCTATCACCAGTGAAATACATTAGCACCAATAATTTTATTAAAGTAGGTCATTCATCTAGAATAAAAAGGGAGAAGAATGTGAATTAAATGCCAAGTGTGCTAACTTGCCTATACTTGTTAACACCGAATGTGATGCCCTGTAGGCCTTCCTCAGTATCGTTAGGAATAGATTACCTGTCAGGAATATGTATGGCATATTCAAATAAGCACTGCGCATATTTTTAAAACTGATATGATATGAATCCATGTAGACCAATTTTAATAGTTCAAAATGAGTCATAATTCTTGTTAACAATACAGTTATTTTTAAAATTTGCAGCAATAGTGGTCCTTTTTTATTTTCCTTATTGAAATTAAATGATATGCCTTAGGTGAGTCATTCATCACTGTTAAAGTAACTTGCCTTCCATTGGAGTTCCTGAATTTTTATCCATATATATACACATATATATTATGCATTTCCTTCCAGTTTAAGAAATGCTTTTCTACATATGAGTTCCTGAGTGTATTTTGGACTGTTATTTTAGGCTTAATTTTTTGTTGTTGTTATTATAGCTTAAACTAAATGTTTCAATTGATTTAACCTCACACAGTGACTTATTTAAATTCATGGATATGTGACATCTATCTAACAGAGGCATTTTGCATCTGAACACTTACCACTCCATTTTAAAAATTTCTTTGCCTTGTAATATGCTTTTTGAAACTAACGTCACGTGTCAGAGAGTTAAGTTGACATGATAAAACATTTTTCTCTGTTTCTAAAATGTATATATGTATGCCTTTAACTAGAAGTAATATAAACAGCATAATTTACTTACTGGTTAAAGAGGTATGTTCTGAATCACACAATATGACAAGCCATGTGATTGCTTTATAAGCCAAGGAGAGCATAATTTACATTAATTGAAAATGATAAAAGATAGGAGCATATAAAAGCATCGATGTAAAAATTGCTCTGGATAAGTTTTATTTATATTAATTATTTAAATATATGATATTCAGAATGAAAGGACACACTATTGTCACACAAAAAGATATTTATTAGCTTCACATTTTATTCAACAATTTTAGTGAATTCTCGTGTGGTAAAATAACTAATGGGGTAATACACATTCTCCTTCAGTGTGGCTTTGAAAATATATTTCCCTCTCTATTTTTAAATGACTATTTTTAAAAAAGATAGTTTTAATATTTGCTAAAGATGGAAAAATCTCCAGTGTGTGTAACAGAAGGAACAACTATACTAGCATTTTTCTTTGCATTAAGTAATAAATAATTAAATTTTTATATAGCATATTGTAAACAAAGTTCTATATGAATGCTAAATTAAGTATGGCCATTGTATCCTGAGTGAACAGTTAGCCCTTTGTGGCATGGTTTGTGATAAAAACACATCTAATTTGTGTTTGCATTAAATGTCCCCACTAGCATTGTTTATGCTTCAGCTGTCTTAAGATGTTGAATTAAATAATTTTCCCATCCTTACTTGTTTTTAATACATATTTTATCTTCAGGGCTTAGGTGTGACCACTGTGATTTTGGATTTAAATTTCTTAGAAGTTTCAATGAAGATGGATGTGAGCCCTGCCAGTGTAATCCCCATGGCTCAGTAAACACATTCTGCAATCCTCTTTCTGGGCAATGTGAGTGCAAAACAGAAGCCAAAGGACTTCAGTGTGACACCTGCAGAGAAAACTTTTATGGGTTGGACATCACCAGTTGTAAAACCTGTGATTGTGATGTGGCTGGAACACTTTCTGGGACGGTCTGTGATACTAAAACAGGGCAGTGTGTCTGTAAGCCCAATGTTGGAGGGAGACAGTGCAGTGAGTGTTTGGAAGGATACTTCTATCTACAACAGCAAAATCATAATTTCCTCTGCCTGCCTTGTAACTGTGATCAGACAGGGACAGTAAATGGCTCTCTGCTGTGTGAAAAATCAACAGGACAATGTCCTTGCAAATTAGGGGTAACAGGTCTTCACTGTAATCAGTGTAAACCTCATAGGTACAATTTGACCACTGGCAATTTTCAAGGCTGCCAGATGTGTAAGTGTGACTCCTTGGGGACACTACCTGGGACTGTTTGTGACCCAATCAGTGGCCAGTGCCTATGTTTGCCTAATCATCAAGGAAGAAGGTGCAATCAGTGTCAACCAGGTAAGTGAGAAATATGTTACATTTTTAGTGTAGAATGACTTTCCTTTCATTATCTCATATTAGGCAATTCCTTTTTGTTTCTCATTTCAGCCTTCTAAAAATTTCTCTCAGACATGATTATATTTGTATCATTTCCAACACAGATACGGCTGTTAATCAAAATTGAGCCAGTATGTTTGTTTTGCTCTGTTTTTTGGGGGCAGTTTACATGTAGCATAGTGCCTAACGCACTTGACTCCTAACCAGAAAGCTGGAGGTTCAAACCCATCAACCACTCTTCGGAAGGAAGGTTGGGCAATCTACTTCCATAGTGATATTGCCTGGGAAACTCAAGGAGGGGTTGCTATGAGTCAGGTCTGACTGGATGGCATGTAACAACAACAACAGCCATTTTGACATTTCATAATGAGACTTGCCAATATTTATATAAGGAGCTATGATGGTGCAATGGTTAAAGTACTTGGTTGCTAAAGGAAAGTTCAGTGGCTCAAATCCCCCTAGTCATTCAGACTTATTTTGTAATTGAGGGAGCTCTGGTGGTACAGTGCCTAAGGCATTTGACTGCTAACCAAAAGGTTGGTGGTTCAAACCCACCAGCCACTCCATGGAAGGAAGACTGGGCAATCTACTTCCATAAAGATTTACCTCCTTGGAAACCCAAAAGGGGGCCACTATGAGGAGGAATCAACTCTATGACAGTG